AAATAAATGGAATAGATAAATATAAATAGATATATGAGTTAAATACTATAAATATGTGTAAATATATATATATAATAAGCCACTCTACGGCTTTAGAATCGCCTCCAGCCCGCAAACCACCCCATCCCGAATCCCCCACCCTCCCTAGTAACGAAGAAAGGTGAGAAATTCGGGAGAAACCCGCACGCGCACCGAAGACGACTCCCGAACCGCAAAGTGTCCCGTAGTACATCAAAAATCTACATGACTATATTTAAAATACTATTTACAAAATATTATATATAAGATAAGTGTATTATTTCTAGGAAATAAATTTATTTAAAATGCAGCCATAATAATAAAAAGACTTTTTGACAGTTTCGGTTCTAACACGTGCCAAATGTAGTAATTTAGACTGTCTGGTAACCCTACCCTTATTAAAAAGAAAATATTCTTTAATAAAAGTAGGGGAATTACCTAAAAAAATACTTTTCTGAACTAATTTTAAAATGTGATCATTCCTTCTAGTCTGCAGAGCACGCCATTTAAGTTTACATAAAGCTTGATCACTGTCCTTAGATCGAGTGACTATTTTAGATGCCCTACTTTGGAAATGATCTAATAGAGTGGCATTGCTATCCCAAGAACAATTCCATACAGTGTCGCAGTAGTCAAAAATTGGGCGAATGTACGATAGGTATATAGTATTAGCAGCATATGAAGTTAAATTGTACGTAAGCGAGACAGCATACCAAGTCTTTTACCTGTTCTAGATATAATGTATTTAATATGAAAAGTCCAAGAAATAGTGTCCTTAAATGTTACGCCAAGATACAAGTTTATTAACATCTTCRGACTTTGACCATTAAAATTAACATTAAAGTCTTTGAATTTAGATGGTTTTGCATGAGTCCCAAACAACATGGTTTAAGTTTTGGTAGTGTTTAGAAAAGGACCTGGAGTCAAGCACCTAAGTTGGATAAGTCTTGATTCAGATTCTCTTGGATGACAGAAGTATTTGGTTCGGCAAAAACCAGCACTGTATCATCTGCGTACATCAATACATTGCAGTGTTTGATGCTGTAGGGTAGATCGTTGATGTGTAGAACAAAGAGAAGAGGCCCCAGAATGGAGCCTGAGCGACACCAGCAGTTGTTCACAGTGGGTCGGACGATACTCCACCAACACCCACGACTTGAGTATGGTTATTTAAATAATCCTCAAACCATTTCAACTCTTTAACTTTACTCCCAATAGCACACAGTTTCGTCAGCAAAATAGAGTGTTCTATGGAGTCAAATACTTTACGCAAGTCTACAATTTACTGCACCAGTCAAGTGAACCTGGTCAATATTACGCCTGATTGTATCAGCGAAAGACAGCGCTGCAAGAGTGGTAGAGTGCTGTTTTCGAAATCCACATTGATAAGGACTCAGTGAATGATTCTCTTAACTAGCTGAGAGTGCACAATTCTTTCAAGCAGATTTTGATATTACTGAAATTGATACACACAGGATTTTCGTTTGCCATGATACACATTTATAGATACACATTATAGAGGAATGTATTTATTTACGTCGCGAAGAATAAACGTAATTTAATATTACACATTAAACATCCTTTTTTTAATGATATTTTCTTCCACAACAGGGATAGAAAGATGCTTGTAGGAAGATGTCATGAAGCAGGGCAACAACTATCTGTTATATTACAAGGTTCAACAGGAAAGTAAGTAACTAATATAACTATTTTAGAACCTATTATTTTATATCCTTTCACAACCCGCTAATGTATAACGGTGGTTAAATAATGATTCAGATTTTTTTTAAATCTCGCGATGGGTTTTTTGTTATTACTTTATCCACTTTGCTAACCCACAATATTCAAAATTGGTGTCAATTGGCTGTTATCGTAAACATCCAATGAAATAAGGCGACGGAATGATGAAGGACCAGGCGCCTTCTTCAGTAGAGAGTTTTTAAGCCTAGTTTATCAACAATTATGAAGGATATATTTTTTCAGCACAAACCGTAAAGAAAATGCTTCTAGATGAAAAMGCAGGCGCTCTGTGAAAGAAATATGAACACCATTTCAGTGCACACTGTAAAGTTAACCTAGCCAAGAATATGAATTATTCACCCCCACAAAACAATAGTGACTCACACCTAAGTTCCTAATTAAGCACACTCCTAAAACAAAACAAAAAACGCACGAGAAGCAAAATAGCCGAAACATCATTGCTTTAAGAGCAATATAGCCTTGCTATGACCTTAAAGTGAAATACACGATCGACAAACACTTTCTTCATTCTTGGGTTACCTTGGATTATAAACTATGAGGAGATATAGATGTTGTTTAAAAGTATTCAACGAAGCTTAATCTTAGTTACTTCTTAGAATTGAATTSAACGCTATTTACTATTGAGCACGAGGAGCTTTAGGCGACTTAAARATGAAATAACGGACTTTGAAAGTCCGGTAAATCGCAGCATGTGATGAAATGTGATCTACTTTCCTATTGTTTTATTTATATGCGTAAAAAGGATTAACGAATACGATGCCGGCCAATGTTTATAGTCTTGTCAACACGAACCCTGAAACTTGGTACTACCTATCGAATCTTGTCAACACGAATCGTGAAATTTAAGTCCATGTTCGAGTTAATAATGATAAAAACAGTGAAAGCGCGCTCAATTCAAAGGTCACGGGGAAAAAACCGCTGTGTGATGAGGCAGCAGGAGTGCTTCTTGCTCCTCGTTGATCGTGTTCTTTAATAACCCTGGAAAGCGCTAGTACGTCAGTCACAGATGAAATAGGTGGTGGAACACGTAAAACATCGCTTCAAACGCAATTTCTAGACGAAATCGTAAGACTTCCTGGCACGACTTGCTGGATGAAAATGGCGATCTAAAGAACACGTATTCAGTTCGCCACAACATTTGGGATAGTCAAAGGATGGCTCAGGCAGCGAGATATGTAGGGATTTGGCAGAAAAAAAGAAATTAAATTAAGACCACCATCGTGGACCACATTAATTCGTGCGATCTAGCACATTTGGGTTTCAAGGCCACTGATGTCAACAACATGTTACGATTGAACAAGATACATCAATAATCTCGAAACGCAGTTGGTGAAGCTTAAGGACGAAATCAATTCTCTCAAAGACTGTACTTCAAAGTATGAAGTAGCGACGGCAGCTCTAAAAAGGAAGAACGCAGACCCCATCATCACTGGTAAAACTTTGCCGAGCGCGCCTAATCATTCAATCAATTTCCAGCCAACTACAGAATCTGAAAAATCTGATCTTAATTTGCAGAAAAGTGATTTGTCGCCTAACCTTAATGAAATCTATAACAGTAAGGAACTTCGGCCTATACAAAAAAGAAGAAATGTTGAAAACCGTACAAAGTCCGTATTTCCGAAGAGGTTCAAAATATTTGTGAAGGCCATCGCGAGTCGATTGGTAGTATCCTTGGACACCGAATCCTTGTTGACGATGAAAGCGTTCTCAACAATTTAGATGAAGTAGTCGATATTGTTGCAGAACAAAAAGGAATCAAGGAAGGCTAAGAGGCAGAATGCCTGACAATACATGCTAAATATCACACAACTCGGCCGTGGTGGAGTAAGTATGCATGTATGACTTTTTTTTTTTAATAGCCTGTTCTTGAACTCTCTTTTAGCCCGAATGTGAAAAGAAATTCCCCTGGTGCTTCCTTGGATTGCCTTGCATATAAAACAGCCTGGCGGCAGCAGGACAACTTAGCTTGCAATTGAGGGCTGTTCGTTCTGTGAGAACAATTCTCCTGGTGCTTCCTTGGGTTGCCTTGCATATAAAACAGCCTGGCGGCAGCAGGACAACTTGGCTTGCAATTGTTGGCTGTTCGTCCTGTGAGAAGAAATTCTCCTGGTGCTTCCTTGGGTTGTCTTGCATATAAAACAACCTGGCGGCAGCAGGACAACTTGGCTTGCAATTGTTGGCTGTTCGTCCCGTGAGAAGAAATTCTCCTGGTGCTTCCTTGGGTTGTCTTGAATATTAAAAAACATATCAAGCTCATGCACAATAAAATGGACTAGGGCTTGTAATGGTATGATATTGTCAAGTCGCTGCTCTCGATCTCTGCGATTCTGCAGTCTAACATTTTCATATTTTCTCTTTCTCCAAAGTTTTCTCTTCTCATTGCTCTTATTCTTTCGTTGTTTCCGCCTTTCTTCTTTCTAGATGTACTGGGCTGGTAAATATTTAAAACTTGACTAACCATGGCCAATTTCTTTAAAATTCTTAAAACAACTACAGCCAGGGTCAAATGGTGAATGACTGAGAATGAAGTCTGTCAGGAATACTCATTTGGTAGCTGGTTAAACGATAACTGGATTTCGTGGTTGAAAAGCGGAGAATACATACTGTAGTAAGGATGCAACTTATTTGTATCATATTTTCTAGATAAATATTCCCAAAGTTTGGTTTGTATATATCATGAAATGGATAATAATTTCTTCGAAACCACTAATACAACTATTAGTACCGGGAAAATGTCGAGAACAAGAAACCCTTGCAACAATCACAGGGTTTATGAATATTCTTGAGTGCTGTTACAGTAATTAAAAATAGCCAATTCCGCCTGAAGTAAGACAATTAATTTCTTGTGCCTATATCTTCATGCTAGTATTGTATTTCAATCATGATCTGATGACAAGCTATGTTCATCTAATACTTGACAAGCCAAATTAAAATTTCACGCGAACCAAACGCCTTTGAGATGGATTAGAAGAACCCCTACCTAGAATTTTTATACTGGCCTAAGCTCCTCGTGTTGAGCAGCCAAAACGTAGGTCAGTGGGGAACGGTGTGTCATGCGTATGGTAACTGGGATATGCCTGATGCTAAGGTCGCATGCCGTCAACTTGGCTTTACTAAARCTGTAGGAGCTTGGTACTATGGACGAGGGACCGGTAAAGTATGGTTAACCAATATGCAATGTACAGGCTCAGAGGCCTCGCTTGGAAGCTGCACTCACAATGGATGGGGAAATGTTCACTCTAGCTGCAATGGTCACACATATGATATTGATCTCGCGATGAGTTTTTGTATCGCTCTTCCATCGCTCATTTTTTTTCTCTTTTAACCACGAAGTTAGAATGTAATTCCTCTGGCCATATAATTTTCAAATGGCAAATTCTACTCTTTTCTCTTCTTTGTTCTTTTCTTTTTCTTTTCCTTTTTGTTTTTCTTTACCTCAACGTTTTTCTCTATAACGTTGACCATATGCTGTTTGGTTGTTCATCCCTGTTTCTTAGGGCAACCATATGCATCAAACCAATTCCCAGTGGCTAGACCGGTAAATCGCCAATGGGGAACTGTCTGTGATGGCATTTGGAGTTCAAATGATCTGAATACAGCTAAGATTGTATGTAGGCAGCTGGGTTTTACCAAAGCTGTTGGATATTAGTACCGCGGACGAGGAACAGGTAAAGTATGGTTGCACGGCGTGTATTGTTCAGGATCAGAGTCCTCACTAGGAAGTAAATCGCCTATGGGGAACTGTCTGTGATGGCAGTTGGAGATCAATTGATCTGAATACTACGAAGGTTGTATGGTTGCATGGCATGCATTGTTCCGGCTCAGAGGCCTCACTAGGAGGTTGTACTCACAATGGATGGGGAAGTGTTAGCTCTTACTGCAACGGTCACACATATGATGTTGGTGTCGTGCTGGTATTGTATCAAACCTTATCACACTGTATTAATGAAGCTCAATCATGGCTAAAAAAAAGTGATATAGTCTACATAGACAGGGCGATGTGGAAAGTGTTTATTTGTTATTGCCGCTTTAATATGAATGTTGCCATGCAACCCACAGGTTTAGAATCCTTTCTGGAAACGTGTACGCATAATGGACGGAAAATGATAACTCATATTCATATGCAACACTCATACGTTGGATGGTGATGTGGAAATTTGAAATATAGAAGCACGGAGTTGCTATTAATATATTAGTTTAGGCTTCAGGGTATGCAACCATTATTCGGGGATTCAGTGATTCCCTCAAATTGGGAACAGTACTGTGATTATTAGTATAGGTAATAACACGGTTTCGAGTTCAATTTGGGATTAATTTGCAGGAGTGTGTTTTTTGAAGAGTTGACATTGCACGAGAACGTCCAGGGTCAATGGGGAACAGTTTGTGGTGACTGGAATAACTGGGATATGGATGATGCCAAGGTTGCTTGTCGTCAATTTGGTTTTACCAAATCTGTAGGACGTTGGCTCTACGGACGAGGGACGGGTAAAGTATGGCTGTACAGCATGCAGTGCTCAGGCTCTGAGTCCTCTCTAGGAAGCTGTCCTCACAATGGATGGGGAAGTGTTGACTCTAGCTGCAACGGTCACACATATGATGTTGGCGTCTTATTACTTTATAATATTCTCGCTTGGTCATCTACCAGTTGAACTGATTACAATCTGTAGTAATAACGCCCTTTTTTGAATAACTGTTTAGTTTATGCTTTGTGAAACTGTAATTCTGCAAATGACCTACCTTTGGCTCTTTTAATCACGTAATACACAGATGGCAAGTAGTGCTACCTGATGTGTAAAATTTTTCTTGTTTTTTTATATGCTTGACTCAGAAAAATATATTGATAACATATTTTCTGGCTGTTAATCCTTTTCAATTATTTGAGCAACCATATACCGATGTTTTAATGCAATCCATTATGTATACTCAAAAGAAGAACTCGGGGCAAACCCAGAGTTTTTTGCAGATAAAGGTGTCGGCGGCATTATACAAGTCTACCACAGTGGTCAGTGGGGTACAGTGTGTGATTATGGTTACTTCGATATGAATGATGCGAAGGTCGCATGCCGTCAACTTGGTTTTACCAAAACTGTAGGATACTGGTGGTATGGACGAGGGACGGGTAAAGTATGGCTGTACTATATGAGATGTACAGGCTCAGAGTCCACACTTGGAAGCTGTACTCACAATGGATGGGGAAACGTTTGGTCTGGCTGTAATGGTCACACATATGATGTTGGTGTTGTGTTGGGCATTTTAAATGCATTAATCAATATTGCAGTTATAGTAGTTTATATATATGTTTATATTATACGAATTACCGAAATGGAAGTTTGCAGGGAAGATTATTTATGGGTRAAAAGATTAATACTGGAGTTAATTGTATAATACTAACAAATACCATGGACATTAAAGACGATGTTAGGTTTCGTGGTTGAATGCAAGATAGCATGTAGACAAGTTTTACGGAAAATCTAACAAGATTTTGGTATGCCATATTTTGTTCAGGTTGAAAGACCTCAATTTGAACTTTTTTTTAAAATTTGTTTTACATTGCTAGATACTGTTTTTGCTTTATGTAATGTTTAATAAAAGAGCAGGAGTGTTTTATCGGGTATAAAGCACGAGGCGTAGCCCAGTAGTTTTATACCCGATAAAACACGATCTGCGAGCTTATTGAACGGCTTAAAAAACTCATGATGTAAGTTCTCATATTGTACCGAATTCTTTA